ATGGTACAGTGAAGCTATCCATTGGAATGTCATAAAAAAAGAACAAATTTCTAGCCCTTAAGAACACTATCGAACTTATTTTATTTTATGGATATTAAATTTATTGAACTTTTAAATCTAGGTGAAAAAGGACGCCTTGGCTCGACGATACAAAGTGAACAGGAGTTCTCCCAACTCTATCAATTATTTGCTGAAGAGGTACGTGTTTATGTTAGATTGGATTACGTTCTGCTACAAGGTTGAAATTTCTGTAAGGTGATTGATGGTATTTTTCTGTTTTCATTGATATAATTTGGTTATGATAACTTCGCACCTATAAGGATGGAGTTTTACCCGCTTGAATCTGGATTAATCAATCGATGAATGACAATGAATAAAATTTTTTAATGCCAATGTTCCATAGATGTCTTTTGAAAACCTACCTAAACCCAAATTTTTCAAAACTCCAACAACTTATCTTCACTCGGAGAATATCTATGCGTCGTGATTTTCGTTATATAATACTCTTTGTTTATATGGAAATGTTTATTATAATTGAGCGTAAAGTAAACTTGTTCAGGTTCTCGGATCAGGTCAATTCGGCACTGTTTATGGTGGTATACATCGAAAATCTGGCAAACATGTGGCTGTAAAGTTGATAGACAAATTGAAATTCCCACCAAACAAAGAGGATTTATTACGAGCCGAAGTGCATATATTGCAGGTAAGCTGTGGGTTTCACTGTTTGTTTCTTTTGACTAGGCGTGAAAAGCAATAGAAATTTTAGAAAGAAGTCTTGGAAGAAAATTGCATTTTTCATTTTCATAGGTATTTAGAGCTATTTCTGTCAGATGATGAAAATGATTCAGGCAGTTTACAGTAATCACGCGAGTCTGAATGCAAGTGGTAGTAATCACAAAAAATAGGCAAACTCTGAATACGACATGAAATGAAATACACACATTCTGAATACGACGTGAAATAAAATACAATAGTGCAATGGACGTTACGAGAGTGCCACTTCAAATCTTTTTCATAAGCAGTATTAAATTCAGTTAGCCCTATGTACGTTTTATTTTACGAACTTACGGTGTAAATATGACATCGACCTTTTGGATATAGTCTTGTACAAAACATAAAAAATTCTCATAACAAAAGTGCTATTTTATTTTTCTTCAGAAAGTTCGCCATCCTGGTGTTGTCGACTTCTTGCAGATGC